TAGGAGATCCAACAACCGGTTATTGCACCTTCTTAGGAGGGGAACTTGGTGACTTGGAAGAGCAAGAAGCAGAAGGTCGTGTCTTGTTCAAGTGCAGAAGCCGAGTATAGAGCCATGAGAAGGCTTACAACCGAGTTGATGTGGCTGAAGATGCTTCTCTCAGACCTTGGTATAGAGATCTCAAAGCCGATCACAATGCATTGTGATAACCAGTCTGCAATTCACATTGCATCAAACCAAGTGTTCCATGAAAGGACTAAGCACATTGAGGTGGATTGTCACAAAGTAAGGGAGCAGATGGAGCTTGGAGTTATCTTACCGTGTTATACAAGGAGCTCTGATCAGTTGGCTGATATTTTTACCAAGGCAACAAGCTTGAAGACCTTGGAGTTCATCGGTGAGAGATTAGGGCTTATAAGTCTCCAAGCCTCTGAATCCCCTAAGTGAAAGAGCTCACACTCTTTTTCCCTAAGTATGGTTTTGTCCCATTGGGTTTTCCATACTTAGGTTTTTAATGAGGTGAGTCTCCTAACTTCCAATCTAAGCCTATCTTAGTGCTTAGCTTGAGGGGGAGTGTTAATCAAGGAAGATAGATCAGTCTCCTCTTCATTAAGAGCTATCTGACCGTACAATCCGTACAATCCGTACAAGACTTGTTAATAGCTTCTTCTTCAAGTCACATCTTAGAGAGAGAAGACTTTCCCTCCAAGCTTCACCTCTTGTGACCGTTTAAAGATAAGGAAGGAGCCTTCTCCTTCCCCTTATGACCGTTTGTAAAGTAGCTTTAGGTAAAGTAGCTTTTGCTTTTCCTCTTTTGGCATTTAGCTTAGGAATCTTTTAGGATATTCCTTTTGCTTTTACTTCAAATAGCTGTATACACCTGTAATTACTTTTTAAGGAAATGAGAATACACTCTTTTTCTCTCTAAACTCTCTCTATTCTCTTTTCCAAAACGTGTTCTTCATCTCTCTTTTCTAAATCTCTCTTAATCTCACCTTAAACCGCTGCTAATCTTTAAATTCTCTCACTATGAAAATCAGAAAACTTGGACTCTCTTTACGAAAAGTCAGATTCTGATCCCAAATGGAAACTATATTGACAAGGGGGAGTTCTGATAATAGAAATTAGAAGTAGAGAATCCTAAACGTGAACGGAGATGCATCACTTACATGTTTTGTTATTCCTTTGGATACACCCAATCTCTCCTATGAAATTCAGAAAACTGGGACTCTCCTTACGAAAAGTCATATTCTGATCCCAAATGGGACTATATTGACAAGGGGGAGTTCTGA